GAAAGGGACTGGACTGCCCGAGGGGCTCGACCGAAGGGGAAACCGGAAAAGCAGGCGAACCAGCTGACGATTAGCCGATGACGCGTGCGAGAGGAGGACGTAAGAGGAGGTGGTGACTCCATGCCTCTCGGCTTGTGTTCCCATCGTTCTTGCTCTCCAGCAGCGAATGCTACGTGCTGAACAACTACACTTTGAATTGATTGGTTTGCCTCATTTAACTCAGATGGTTTAATCCACACTTAACGCCTTCTCTTCAGCCGAACTAATACTCGGTCTAGTAGTCTAGTTTTTTCATCTTCTGATCATATCTGGCAGGTAGTACTCGTAATGTCCTTTGAGTGGAAGTAGTACTCTTGTCTAACGGGCGGCGTTTTCTCGAAGGTAGTGTTCTGTCAGTTTGTTCAGCTTAACTATTATCTGTAGTTAATACGTATAAAGTACACATTTAATGATTTAACAGTGTCTAGCAGGCATGCTTCTTCGATTAGTCAAATGAAAGTAGTACGCTGTCTGAGTGGCAGTACTCCTTCCTTTCATCCAGTCGTCTGTCTGAGGTAGTGCGATCTATTAACCTGTTTAGCTGACGTAATGCATGGCCTAATGGGCACTAATTCCACATATCGTTTAGTCACATCCAGCAAATATCAATCGTTCAATCCATTGAATTGAAGCAGTAGTTTGTCAAACAGGGGTACTCATTCAGTCCACACAGCCGTCCGTCAAGCAGGTGATACCGTCTAATAATAATGATTTGGAGATGGAGATGGAAGATGAATACGAAGTTAATAATAATTTACCTTTTTCAGCAGATATCGATATTACAAGATGGGAGGAGCAGATTTGTCACATAGGCCCCAACGCTTTTTGGAGATATTGTCGACTGACGGTCTTGAACAGCATCGATCTTCCTTTGAGGTGGAGAACCGGGAAGTGGTGCAAAGAAACAATTTGGAAATACTGCCATACGTGGTATCGACCATCAGCGTCCAACGAATGAATGAACACAAAGATCGAAACTTCGATCATCGATTAGGTCAGAGGCCACGAACCGGGTAGAAAATTCTCTGAGGTCATGAGTAATCAGTGACTTAATCGACCAGACTAGAGAAACTAAAATTTCTGCCAGTAAGCGAATCACAAAATCCACTCAATGCACGAAGTTTCACTTTTTTCTAAAGCTGTTCTGAAATGCATTTTGCTGAAAGAAACCAGTTGTGATGGTTGTGAGATTTCATGGGACTTTAAGGCTATAAATAAGAATAAAACCAAATAATTCTTTATAAAACAGTGATGTTTTTTCCGCTTTTCATTGTCCCATTTTCCCAGGTACCTCTATGCTGTAGATTAAAAGCCCACAAAACCGGATCCTGCGGCCCATTGTCCTGCTTCATTTTTTCGAGATACTTAGGAAGCCGTTGAAGACGGTAAGGGGTTCGTGATCTTCAGCAACTGCAGTGCGTCTGTATATCATTGTACTGGCTAGTGAAATGTCATAATCGTCATCGACTATGTTCAGGAATCATTGGCTGTTGTGTATTCTCTTATACTCTCGAAAATGTGCAATCATATCACAGAATATGTTAATTTGCGCAATCGTCCAAATATGATGTAATAGTGTTTGATATCAGCCCATTTTCCTTGATGCATACAGAATGTAACGCTTCATCCAGAGCAGCAAAAAACTAAGTGCTCAGAAAAAAAATATTCAGATGTGCAGGGAAGCCGAATCGGTTGCAAGCGAACTGGGATTCATACCTTAAACTGGTACGATGCTTTTTCCCTCAGTAGTAAGCTCTTAGAAGCAACTGCGGAAGACAGCTAGATGGATAATGATATGATCTTCTTGACGAACGTTCTGTTTGCCGTTAGAGCTGAGAAGGTGATGGAGATCAAGTTTTGATTTATTGATTTATGTCACATCAGTAATGGTCTTCTAATAGTCATTGTATGGCTTATGTTTTCCACTCTCCGTTCAGATCCTGATAGAATTTAAGACTTTCATGTGGTTTGTCAGTGAAGTGTCTCTCAAAGCACTGAAGAACGTTCTTTAAAAGGTGCTTTGCGACCGGCCACACATATACCAGAGAGATTTTGAATTCGAAGGGACAGATATCGTTTTGTTTCATTGTCTCTACCCACAGAAATGCTACACCCTAAAGCTTCAACGCATATATTGCTTGAATACTTATAAAGAAAGACAGGATACGATCATATACAATTCCGATGTCCCGGCTAGCTCCCTCGAATGGCAGCATTCCAATTTAAATTGTAATTACGTTTCAGTTACAGATGTCGAATTTATACGGCAAGAAAGCACTGCCACTTTCGCTTGTAGTCGCCCAGAGGAACCATTTACGCAGGTCACGCTGCATGCATCTAAGCGTCTATAATGCAGCAGATGCAAGACCGCATCTGGCTGCACAACCTTGAGATGCTCAGGCAAAAATAGCTTCCACAGAATCTTGTTGCTTTGCGTACGAAGTATTCGGCTATTCAGTTTGGCCCTTACCACAAGAACTAGACTGGATAGATTCAGTATCGCCTCAGGTACTTAGGACGAAGAATATTTTTTAACTGCTATTCAGGGGGTAAAACTATGGTGGAAGCAATTCGATTGCCCGCTTTCATTGGAGGCTAATAAAACCAGTGACCTCCAACCTCCGTGTTCAGTATCGTGTCCAAAGTGCCTTTTATCTCTAACCAGAAACAGAATGAGGAGTTGCTGATGACGCTGGTGTGCTGCATCGAAATGCCTCGGTAAATAGAGGATTTTATATCCAGTTTTCATATGTTGCCTTGAGTTATGAATCGAGCAGAGTGGATCATGACCTGCTATTCATGTAGGCAACTAATCGATACCTCATTCCATAACTAACGGAGAAACGAACTTAATCAGTTCCTCTTTGGGCGACAATTTCATGGTTCACAACAGATCTTCATAGGTACTGTAGCGGTTCTGAGATTATTCACTCAACCATGTTTATCCTACTTTATTTTTTGCTGAGTCTAGAGTTTTGGACATAGCTCAGAATTGTCATCTCTCTTAAAACTGATTCCAGAAGAAAGAAACTTTCGTAAATCAGTCGTTTATTTACTAATAAATTTATCAGGAAGAAACTGGTCCTCCATTCTCCTGACCCTTGCTGGCGCTCATTATTTGTCACTGCTCTCGGAAACCGGAAAATCATGGCAAAATCTCGTGCCCTTCCCGTGATTTCCGCCAAGCTGCCATGCGGGCGAAAGAGAAACTTGATTCGCCTCATCCTCTGAAGTTGGTGTCATTTCGCATTATTAACAAAGCGAAATATTGAGGAGGGCCAGAATTGCGCCTGTCGATGAGGGATCAACTGGTTTTCATGAAAGCATTGACGGAGCGAATGACTCACCGGGGAAAATCTCCAATCGCCGTATTGATTTCTGCGCAGTTGAGTGATTCCACTTATGAGTTTTCTTTTTAAATGTTTTGACCGAATGCAATTGTTCTGAGCCGTTGAAGGGTCAGAAGCAAATCTGAATATTCTCTTTGCTGCCTAGAGACGGACGGAATCTATGTACGAAAGAGTATAGTAGAGTTTAAAACAGGACGAGAACATAGGATCCTTCTGTCTGTTTCTTTTCATAAGAAATTTCTTATTCCTCTACTACTACAATTTTTTTACTTCACTTTCTTCTGGCATGTTGAGTTTCAATGGTTTGTTCGTATGTTTTTTCATACTCAAAATACAACAGAACGTTTGATTTAACACAACATATCTTAACATACAGCATTATGATTTGGCATACGGAAATGCAACATGTAAAACTGGTCAATTGTACATAAGGTGAGACAAATAGTCTATTGAGTTACTCAGTACAAAGAGACTGTGGTTACAGCTTCAAGGCCCGGTCGGGTCATTCGCCTCTGTTTTTTCTGAGGCTGATACTCACTGAGTATCACTCTGGGGGAGGAAGCAGAAGACTGCACACTGCGCTTGCCATGAAGCTGCTGTTGCTTATGTATTTGAAACAAGACATTCTTGACAGATGACATGGAAATAAAGATTTACCCTTAATCACTAACTTCATGTAAAGAAGAGAGCAAGTGTCAAAAGTGTCAGGGAGGTCCAGATTCCGACGGTTACAAACTTTCCACTTTTTCGTTTTATCATATCGAATGATGGACTGCTATCTTTGTCTACGCTCTCGACATGAATCAGTCTCTGCAGCAATTAAATCTACACCAACCACTGACCACCAGCAACACCTTGAAGAAGTCCAATGAAATGCTAGTCGAAACTTATGTACATATCTGTGACCCAGTGGATTAACTGTATTTCACTGCATATCGTTATACCGTATTTGGTGCTGTATATCAGCGCGGCATATCAAAAATAATCCTAAAATTGTAATATCTGACCTGTAACTCTTCGTCAGAATGAGTGAATCATTAACCTGAAACATGATCAACGTGAGTTAAAAATAATCTACTATGTTCAAGGAATGTGTGCATGCATGTATATATTTTATTGCATGAATACTCGGAATATGACCATAACTTTCAGAGTTAAAGAATACAAAGGGAACCGAAACGCACAATAGAGAAATTAACCAGCTGTTTAGAGCAACTATCACAAAGAACGATTGCCCTCATGATGCCAATCAAGACAGGTATTACTGAATTACCTCTTAATTTGATCCTCTTAATCAGGCGGCATAGTCAAATGCACCGAAGGGTTGTTGTTTGAGAGAACACCGGTGGTCGAATGTGGCACTTTTTTTGTAAGTGTTGTACCAGTTCCTCAGAGCGACTATCGCTTGATATTAATTTGAGAGTCCGGCGTAGAATGTGAAGATTGGTTTTGTAAGGTCAAGAGGAGTAGATAAAGGATTAATAGTTAAAATTTGGAACGGGTATGATGAAATGGCGGGGAGTGAATTTTGAATTCAGTAACTCCTCCAAGATCAAATTTCACAGGGCATTGCTCCCGACCCCTTGCTCGTAGTTGGTTAGATGGACTTTAATTAGGGCAGGGGTCCTCAGTTGTTTAGCATCTGCAGTATTAGACGAATCTCTCTTCAGCTCGTTCGCTTGGGCAATCTCATGCTCACCAATCAATCAATAGTTTTACTACTCATGGTCAACGACTGTCCATTTCTTAAAGGCCGTTGGCCATGGCAACTCGTATATGTTCAAAATGAAAGGCAGTAAGAAAAGTAGCAGCATGATTACGATCACGAACGTGCGTGTACAGTGAACAGCGCCGCTTTCTTCTCCGGATGAGGCAAGCTTTCTGATGAGCCGAAGTGAAGCGATCCGGCTCCGGTAATAAGTGAGCCAGATGGATGGTTGCTTCCGTTCTAGCAACATGACGAACGATATTAAATCTCCGACTTGTGAAATACCGATCTTAATGACCATGGGGTTGCTCTAGAGAAGAAGACTACGCGATTTGCATATAATACTGAGTCTCTCTAAGATATCATATAACCATGCAACACTTCAGTGGCTTCCTTGGGCAATTTAAAGCAAGGGTCTGGTGCAGCACAGCGTAAAATCTGGTCTGGGAGCAGTTCTGCGTCATCCAGCATACTCAGTTGTAGGAACATATTTCAAGTTAGCAATACATAAGCAGTATAATAATGCAAAACATAATATAGTTGCTTTGTAAGAACGACAGGCCCGCAACTGTCTATCGATAGTATTTCAGAGATCGACCGGTTAGAGAGTAAGCCTCACAGTCGCTGTTCCTCTTCCAACAGCAGGCGCTGGTGACAGTGATAAACAGCTGCGACAGCGAGCTCTATTTTACCATCAAGATGAAAGAGTGTGCTCCATGGGGAAGAACGCTTTCGAACAATTGGCGGACTTCTCCGCCGTTATACCATATGAATTGCGTTCCATTTCATGCATCGAACTGTTGAGTTCCGAAATTCAGTGCTTCGATAGCTAACGCGAATGACAGAGAGACAGTGCTTATTTGCTACGCCAAATTCACCTCGTTCTGTAATCAAGTTGACTGACGACTGACATCCGTTTGATCGCCCTGCCATTCTTGCAATCTAACGTCATCGTAAAGAATCATCAGGTTTACGTGGGATTCGATTTAAGCTTGCAGATCCGAAGCTGTTCCTCATCCGTGCCTTCTGCAGTTCTAATCTTTGTTTGACGAGTTGGACCTTCTTCATTTTCTTTATTTTCCTTCTGCTTCTTGTCCTCATTTTTCTCGTCCATCTTTTCCTCCTTCTCCTTCCTTGCTTATTCATGTAGAATTGTTTTTGCATAGTCTGTTTAATTGCGAGTAGCGGGTTTCATTTTCAGGACGAAGCTGGAAGTCCATTTATGTATGTTCAGGTCGTGAATTACAAATGTGCTTGTCATGGTGGAAATCAGCCAAGCTCTAAGGTACGGATTTTCCTGTTAGGAGGGCAGATGTGCCTAAATGGGCTTCCGAGACTTGATTTTGAGTCTCAGAGAGGAAAAATTTTTAGCTTCCTGGTGGTAGCAGTATTCTCGTAGGCCACTTCATTGTACTGCAGTTTGGGAGAAAGAAATGTTCGAAAATACAAACCGTCAGAACAAGAGATCGGGAAATCGGTCATTCAGTTCCCGGCATCGTTTCAGTAGTTGAGCATGGCCGGAGTGGCTTAGTTAGTAGGAAGGCATGTGTGGTCAAACTTGTGCGGGATCGCATCGTGGTTTGGTGATTCACCTTTCAAGTTTTCGAGGTTGATGAGGGAATAGTCACAGTTGTCAAATTCGCTGCTATTTTGAGCATCGTTCGTTCTCCATCTGTTCAATGAGTAGAGAAATGTCCTATCATCCTGCACCGCGTCTTTCGGTCGTGTCCAAGTCATGAAAGAATGGAAATGCAGTTCCGTTAAGTACGTCATCATGAACTAAATGTAAGAAAGGTACTTCAGGTAGGCCGTATCACTAGAGTGTTACGGTGACAGACATCCATTGGATGGTGGAAGTTGTTCCTTCAACTTTCTTCTAGTCCTGAACACCACAGATTGCCGTTGACAGGTGTCAGTGCTTCTCACGTTGGACTTATAGCAAAAATGTTGTCGATCAAGTCAGAAGCGCGGCGGACACCAAAGACTCATTTTCAGGTGTGGCTTCTGAGGTGGGTCACCTCCGTGGCAACTTGATTTCCCACTTACCACGACGCTTTCGCATCGAGTTCGTACCCTTATGTTCAACGAACCGGTATGCAGTGAAATAGCTACAGGCAGTGGAGGTGGCGAGTCAAGCATGAAGTACGAATCGTGATTTCACATCGACATGAATTCATCACTCGCAAACAGACGGTGTGTAGACACAGGTCAGCGGGACATGCGGTCATTACGATTATGGCTTAGTCAAACAGCGATCGCTTGGATCGCTATTCAAGCCCGATAAATCGACATTGTTTTGGCCAGCAAAGTGTTATGTGAAATGGCCCACTGTTTACCCACCGTTTAACAACGTATCACGCTATCAGCACTCTTACGTCGAACCAATTATAGTTCGCAACGATTCACAAGGCTTGCATGGCAAGCAACGTTCCGTCAGTCGATGTGTGAGGACGAAGTTTTTGAGGTAAGCGTCTGAGCGAAGGAGGGCGTTTTGATCGGGCAGAAGATTCTCGTGTTAGCTAGCGAGCGAGTTAAAGCACCTACGTGGAAACAGTTTCAAAAATCCATTTGCCGATGCCGTGCCGCGGCAGACCGAATATCACTGTGCTTTCCGATTCGAAGGTGAACGTGAGGTAAGCACACAAGCAAACATGATGATGTTCAGGCGCACGCTGCACGGCGTCTTTGATAGCTGTCGAAATCTTGTTCATGTTGCTAGTCATCGAGACGGAAGGCATGGCGAGACGATATGCAGGCCCTGAAAATGAATGTGTTCTTGACTCTGAGCCCGTTGACATGGTTATCCGTGCACCGGGTAGCCGAACATGGCACACCATGCTTTATTTCGACGATGACTGACGCCTGGGTCTTCAGAGTATGTCTCTCCTAGTCAAAGCTATTTGAATGGCACTAGGAGATGTGGAAACTCCGGAGTGCCACTAAACAACAGGTGGGCTTTGATTTAATGAACTCAAAGTACAGAAACGAAGTGGAACAACACGCTTTTGCGGACGGCAGACTGTTAAAGGGCTATGCTCTTTGCCATATGTCAGCAAGTTTCTACAGCTGACCATCGGCGAATCGACATGACGACTTGAACATGAGGACAATCGACTCAGATATGCCTCGTTTATGCCTGGAATTCATGTTTGACTCGTTATTCGCCCACCACGACGTGGCTGCGCACGAACATGGACCTATGAATACATATCAGTTTTGAGGTTTTCCATCGTAGGTCAGTGAGGGTGACTTCAAATCACTTGCCGATTCATGGTTGAGGGAACCAGACAAGCCGACGGTAAATCAGTTATTGCTTATGAGTTTCACCACAACATGTTATAGGTGTGAAATTTCTGCATTGGATTTATACGGTATCCTCAACCATGAATCGACAAACAGGCACCGTTGACGAATACTGCTGATCAGCTCCTAGCGTTGACTCCTCCAAATGAACTAGCCACACTGAAAAACTACGGATAACAGATACAGATACAGCTTTCGTGACTTCTTCGCTCAAATATTTATTCCTCGGTTTTCATACGTCGCCAGTAACGCGGTGGATAAACCCTGCAATCATATCATGGCGAGAAAACGACTCACACTCAGAGGTAGAGAGGATTTGCAATGCACGACACGAAGCTACGCTCTTCACGCGGACGGACGACCTCATTTTCCAGAAGAGGCGTCCAAATACGAAAGCATGTGAATCCACTTTATGTGATGATCCAGGAATCTCGTGAGCAGACCAATCACAGAAATCAATACTGCAGGTTGATTGAGTTTAGTGCCTTCGCGCCAGCAGTCGAGGGCTAGGAAGCTAGCTGACTAATGTCAAGCATGACTTTCACAGAAACAGCCTGTGGCTGCAGGGTGGTTTATTAACTATTAATGGGCCGTTATGAATCATACATGCATATACGTTCCTGATGCTAACACATGCACCATTATGATAAATTATTTTAGATCAGTATATATGCTTATATATATATATAGCCTTTTCGGAACGTTTTGGAAGACTCAGCGAGGTGCGAGCTTGAGGGAATTCATCATCTGATCTCAGTGTTAACTCGATCCTTTAGGAAGGGATGCAGGTTCAAGCTAAGATTCTCTACCCTTTATTTCTACAGGTGACAAGATGTCGACAGTTGTCGACGAAGCCGAATCGCAGAAGCAGTCATGTTGAGGTAATCAGGAGGAGCATCTTTCAAATTT